TGAGGTGGTGGTCATGATGATGATGTTGGTAATGGTGATGTACGTATGTTGAACTTCTTTCGCACCATGCTAATCGGAGGGCGGTGATGATGGTGGTGTTGAAGGTCATGATGGTTTTTCCATGGACGTACCAGAGGAATTTCGATCTGGTACAGATACGAAAGGCTGATCGATGCCCAGGTGAGGTCGAGGGATGGCTCCCTATTGGTCAACCACGTTATGTATGCTGATGATCGGGTGATTGCTGCTCACTCAGAGGAGTTGGAGGCGCTGCTGCTGAACCTGGAGTGTGCCACTAATAGGTGGGGCCTTACCATCAGCCCCACCAAAACTAAGCACCTGCCCAGGTAATTTGTGCGACCAAACACTCCATCCCCTCAGCTCCCCATTGGTGATGGAGCAGTTGTAGAGAGAGTGGTTTCCCAAACCTGGCAGTGTGCTTATGACCAGTTTCGAATCAGTCGGGTGGCATTAAACTTTTCATCGGCTGCACAATGCTGTGTGAAAGCAATTTGGTCTGTCGCTCCACACGAAGCTTCGGGTCTTCTTGACCATGGTTATGTGAATCGTGGATCCCTCTAATGGAACATCTGCGCTAGTTATAAACAATCAGGCTGGCATGCCTACGATCCATCCTGGGTTTAACCAGGATGGATTGTGCGAGCGGCTCACAAATCCTCGAAAATGAAAGTTCTCGACACATTACCATCAGTGAGCTCCTCCGGCAGGGAAGGCTCCGCTGGCTGGGTCATTTAGCCCGCATGCCCAGCCACCACGTGCCCAAGCAGCCGAGAGGGAGCTAAATGGGCACGGCACAGGCTAGAGAAGAGATGGAGTGATGTGGTACAAGAAGATGTGGGGCTGAGTGAACTTGGCGAAGATTGGTACCAGCGGTGTCAAGATCGTCCTCTGTAGAGGAGGCTCGTAAAGGACGCGACCGGGCAGTTTGAGGCAGTCGCCCTCCAACAACGGAGGGCAGAATGACGCTGCTCACAACAACGAGCGGAGCACTGGGCAGCTAAAACACAGCAAGTTGGCACGGTAAGGGGCACAGGTGGTGCATCGGCCAGTCATTTCAGTCAACCCATGGCACCTGGGTCTGTCCCGTGACCTCCTGCACCTAGCCTGGCACAACAGTTAACCCATGGCACCTGGGTCTGTCCCGTGACCTCCTGCCAGCGGGCGTTCGACACTTTACGTGGCCTTAAATTGCCTTTATAGACTGGCACAAGCTCATTGGTGATGTCACCGCCACTTAGTGGCAAATGGTGGTTGTTGTTGTTGGTGGTGATGACGCTGATGCACACGGAGTCTCAACGCCACCACCTCTGGTACCTCCACACACTGTTAGCGAGCGCCCATTAAAGGGAGGTGTGTACACACGTGTGTACGTGTACACACCAATACCCGCCATTCGCCAATTAGTGACGGTGACATCCCCACGGGCGCCTGTGCCAGGCCAGGTGCACGCACTTTGGCACCACGTGAAGTACCAAAGGCTCGCTGCTGACAGGTTAAGAAACAGACCCAGCAGGTGCCATGAGTTGACTGTTGTGCCAGGCTAGGTGCAGGAGGTCACGGGACAGACCCAGATGCTGTGGGTTGACTGAGATGACTGGCCGATGCACCACCAGCATGCGATGGCTGGGCATGGGTGCTACATGACCCAGCCAACGCAGCCTCGCCTACCGGAGGAGCTCACCAATGGGAATGTGTCAAAATCTCCGAGGATTTGTGAGCTCCTCACACAATCCAGCCTGCAGGTTAAACCCGGGATGGATCGTAGGCAGGCCAGCCTGAATGTTTCTAACTGGCGCAGATGTTCCATTCGAGGAGTCCACGTTTCACAACCATAGGGTAGGGAGGGAATGACCGTGGCAGAGAAGACCCGAAGCTTCGTGTGGAGCGACAGACCAGGTAGCTTCCACACAGCAGCGTCATGCAGCCACCACCGCCTCCACTACCTCCAACGCCACCACATCCGCCACCTCCATCGCCACTACCGCCACTCACCGGTGCGTGTCGTCCTCCTCTTAGGTGGCGACATCTCTTCTCCTCGCTCCTCCTCAACCACCGCCTGCCTCTTCACCTTCGGCCTGCCCCTCGCTGCCCCCGCTGCTGCTGCTGCCCCTTGAGCAGCAGCAGCAGCAGGAGCAGCAGCAGCAGGAGTCGGACTTGTCGACGCTTCCAAAATGACCTGGCTCCACCTTCTCCTCTTGGCTCTGTTACCGCCCTCCCCCTCCTCCTCCACCTCCTCTGCTCCTCCCCGCGTGTTCCTGGCCATCTTGGCTTTGCCGCCAGCGCTACCTTGCCCAGCGGGTCGCTTGGTGCGGCCCGGCTGTCTGGGGCGCGGCTGAGCAGCAGCTGCTGCTGCTGGTGGTGATGCTGCTGCTGGTGGTGATGCTGGTGGTGGTGGTGGTGATGCTGCTGGTGGTGGTGATGTCTCCCTCAATGTCTTCATGCGGAGGCTCAACGCCGGCACCTCTGCTCACGGCACACAGATGTCGGACCCCCAACTCCTCCGTTAGCGAGCGCCTATTAAAGGTAGGTGTCTGCGAGTGTGGAGGCTCAACCAGTCTTGGGCTTCCCCTAGGTCGACTCAGCCTCCAGTGAGTTAGCTGGCACAGTGGTGTGTAAGTAAACATCGCTACTGGGGAGAGACAAAGGCGGCTGGGCATGTTGGTGTTGGCCACCAACTCGTGTGCCACAGCGCCGGCCGACGTCGGCGCTGCTACTTGCAACTAACAGGAACCTGCCCCAACAACCCATGTAGAAGGCTACTGACCAAATCACTCTCCCAGTGACACACACCCACCCACCCTCTGCTAACTCACCCACTGACACACTCACTTCTCCAAGACAGAGGTTCTCTGCAAGCCATCTGGCTACCATGAGAGATTCGTTCATGAGGCGATCCACATATACAAACACAGAGACAATTTCAACCGAGAAGATGGATTCTGGCTTAGCAATCATTGGAAGGATGTAATAAACCATTTCGGATCTTAACTAATTGTGTTCACGTTTACGGTGACTTTCAGACCGCGTTCCACTCACTGGCATTGTATTCTCCGCAGGGAATGGATTCTTTGCAACGCTACTCTCCCATTGACATATTTCGTTGCTTTCTCTTCGTATCTTTCACACGACGGTCAACGGTATAGTGTATAATAACAAATAGTATAACATTTATATGCTTAATACAATGTACAAAGTAATATATAGTATCGTAATTGTATAGTGGATATATAACAGTGTGATATACATTAGGGTGGGTAGAATAATACATAGTGTTATATTACAATGTATAAGGTGGTTTATAGCAATACAGTATATCATTTAATGTTGGGTTTGTCTATGGCAGTATATAGTACGGTGTAGACTCGTGTGATGTAAGAGAATAAAGTTTATATGGAAGCATATTATATAATTTTTACGACGTAGAATTGTAATGTACTACTTACTGTTAGTAACTCAGCTTATTGTAGAGTATAGTTAGTATACTGATGATACTATGTAGTTTATAATTTAGTTGTTTACGTGTTGGTTTTAGTTACTGCAGCTACATACTATTAACACTCCTTCCTTTTATTAATGCTACCCCTCCCTTTGATGCTGCTAATCCTGCATAATGCACGGGCATAATTAGTACTAATCACATACCTGCATTTCCCATATCCCCTCCCTTTGATGCTGCTAGTCCTGCATAATGCACGGGCATATGTAGTACTAATCACATTCCTGCATTTCCCATAAATATGCTAAATTCCTCTTGATATCCAAATTCTTTTGTCAAGGCGCCCTTCCCCCCCCTTCCAACCCAGCTTATATATATGCTCCAAGCTCGTGTGCTGTTTCATTCAGTCGCTGTCGCCTCGACAGACCTTGTTTTCACTTGAGGACGGCTGCTTGCGTTGTGGCCGAAACGTCGTGAGAATTATTTTATTATGTTTTATTTTTATTATTTTATTACTTCCCTTCTACGTGACTTTACCGAAAGAACCAAGAAGATAAGTTGTGTCTGCCGCAGCAGTTCCATTGGAGAAACAAAACGACATGTCTCGGACTGTGTTCGCGAACAGAAAGCAGATTTGAGACACGGCAGAACCAATACCTCTGCCATGGCGGATCACTGTTTTAACGCGGTGGGCTCACACGATATTGTTTTTTCCGAGACCAAGGTATTCGGCAAACCTTCGGGCTACCTTCCAAGATTTGTCCATGAAGCCATCCAGATATATAAACACAGACACAATTTCAACCGAGAAGAGGGAAACAAACTGAGCAATCATTGGAAGGACGTTATTAACCGGGTTAAGTCATAACTGGTGGTGATGTCCCCCTTCCTGCCTGCTTATGTTAACAGCTATTCTCGACTCTCTGAGCCACATTCACTAACACAGCCTCTCTCTCTCCCCCTACCACCGATTATCTATGCCCCACCCCCCTCTCTCCCCCCCCTAGCTTCCCCTCCATTATCTCTGCCCAAACCCCCCCCCTCTCCCCCCTGCCGCCAATCACTTACTCATGTCGTGGCGGCTCTCTCTCCACGTCCCACTTGTCCCCTGCCGCCGATCTTGCTCTGCCCCCCCCCCTCTCCCCCTGGCAAGCTCTCCCATCCCCGCCGCAGATCTTACTCTGCCCCAACCCCCCCCCCCCCCTGCTCTTTCTCCCCCTGCGAGCTCTCTGGTCACCACTCATCTTACTGGCCAGCCCCCCTCTCTCTCCCATCTCTGGCCCCGCCCACATGCCCTACCTATATAGCCTCTTGTCACGGCAGCTCTCTCGACTGCTTCAGCAGTTTCCCTGCTGTAAGTGTCTCACCTGATGACGGTCGCTTGTGTTGCGATCAAAACGTCGTGATATATTATTTTCTACCTACGTGATTTTAACGAAATAACCAAAGAATAAGGTGTTAATTGTTTGCATTTCCCCGCATACTATTGTCATAATCGAGTGGTGAAAGTGCATCTCTGTGGGGGGGGGGGCGGAGAAGCAGAAGGTTTCAGAATGTATGTTTTACCGTGAACATGGCTTCGATTAATGCGATTTTTGTTGCCCCTTATTTTGGAATGCGTCTACCACATAAAGCAAGGGAAACCTGTAAATCGGATTCATGGTTTAATGTCTTGGTTCCATTGACACAACCCTGTAACATGGATTGTCACTCTCCCTAGATCACAAACATGGCCATGAGGTTGTGCTTAAGAAGCAACTTCATGATGGTGCTAAAGCACAGGCCGTGGAGGATCTGGCAAAGGTGAGCAGGGCCATACACCGCCCTCCTATTGTATGCTCACAATCTCGCACACGACTCTCACATGTGGAGCACTTTTACACAATTCGTAATAGATTTTTGGGACAAGTCGCCGCCGTTTTGCTGAAGAGCAATCCAAACAACGTTTAACAATTGGGTATGGACATTTCGCTGGTGGTCACAAACAGCATCATCAGGCAGCTACCAGAAGTCTGTACATTGATTTATTCTGGCCACAACGAGATTGCTTCTGGAGAAAGAGATAATTTGGGGGTTCCTGAAACCCAAGTGAGGCTTGTGACAAACGGAGTAAGGATATTTGTGACAAGCCTTTACAAAAGGTCTAAATGCTGCGTCAGGAGTTTAGGAGTGCACCAGGACTCTGTACTAAGTCCCTTCCTCTTTGTACTTTGTGCAGGACGCCCTGGTTAGAAGAATGAATAATGACAACTCATGGTGCATGTCTGTTTGACGATTTTCCCATGATATGTAGTTGGAACAAGGAAAAGGTGCGGAAAGACCTGCAAGACCGTTCTGCAGTGGACTGGTTGCCTGTAAAACAGTGTGAGGGCGAATGCAGAGCTTGTGAGAACTAGGTCCAAACAAAGATGGGGGGTGGGCGGGGTACTGGGGTAGGCAGTGCACCGGCAAATGTTACTTTGGCATCATCCGAGTTCACACCCCGGAGCTCTGTGAATTATTGTTATGGTTGCCTGTCACACAACAGCTCTGCTGGCTGTCCATATATGAGCAGAGCAAGCCGAGCCTGGTCTGCATGCAAGATGATGGCTATGGACTGGACAAGGATACCAAAGCAAGGATACACAAGGCTTGACGGCTCTCATAGACATAATTGGTAGAGCAATGTGTAATGGGAAATTTTTGACATGGATTGAAGGGGAAAAGTTATGGAGTTCCATATCTGCTATGAGTTATTTTAGTGGCAGTTAAACGTGGCACATTGAGCACATTGTATGATTGTAGAATTTCCCACAGATTAACCTTGTTGGTCTCTCTGCTTATAAACCCTCTCGGCCCCGCCCCTATCAAAAAGTGCCCTCCACCCCACTATGGCACGTGTCTCAATGTGTACATTTCACTGTCCCCTTTACAGCGCCCCTCTGCCACCTGTTCCCAATCATCTGAACGTGTATTTTCTAATGAATTATCTATAGTGCCTTATGGCCACCTCTTCTTAATTATCTCAACGTGTACACTTTGACACTTTTTATCTACAGTCCCCTACATCACCCCCCACCCCCAACGAAAATACAGCAGTTTTGGCTATAAAACACTGGATTTTTAACAACAGGAGATATAACATTGTTGGACCATGGGATATCACAAGGAATTTTTCCCTGGGAACAGAGTTTTCTACACATTGTCATCTAGGTCAACGCTTAAACATTGGCCCTCAAAACAAAAGGAGGAAGCCGTTACGGTCAACCCAGCTTACTCTTACGTTTAATACACTGGTAAAAGGGAACATCTATACACATGGAAATACACAACCGAACACTTACACCCCCTTCAACCGTCCTCACGAATTTTCGTCTGTGCGGTCGAACGGCGTGCTCAGCCTGGTGGTGCCTCTCCCTAGTGTGTGCTTGGATGACGACTGCATTTGCACCCCGCATCCTCTTTATCTTCATTGGGGTCATGCCTGAGAAGGAGGGAGAGTGCAGAAGCAGTACTTTTCTGGGGCGGGCGCTTCTGTCCCCGGATTTTGTCGCGACTCCCCCAGACCTGGCCTTTCTGAACCTGAATGACACCTTGTGTCGGTGGTTCCTTATAATGGTTCCAAGCCACTCGGGTGGACCACCCATCGCTGGCGCCCAATCTGGATGCGTATACTTAGTGGGTGGAGAACCTGGACAAGCTCTTAGAGAACCCTGCCAGGGACTGTGCAGTTTAGCCGACGTGCCTACCCGGACCTGGGGAAAGTGTAACCAGGCCCAATCCCCTTGCTTGAAAGACCCTGGGGTGTCCATTATTTTCTGCACGTGTTCGTTTTATGATTGCGATCTGCCAGATTTTGCCATTGCGACTTTTCAAGCTTTTAGCAACCTTTTTAGTGGCAGTCTGAGCGAGGCCAGCCATTAAAACTGATTAAGCCAGGAGAGCCACAAGTTGGTCTTTAATTGGTGGCTCTGGATCTCCCGGACATCAAAAAAAAGGGGGGAGAGCCTGGTCGACGCATGTGGCGCTCTTCGGTATGCCACCAAGAACTCCTGCAATATGCAAGTCCCAGTCCGTCTGGTCATACGTGTTAACATGGCACAGCCTAGCAAACAGCGTGTGGTTGAGCCTTTCCATCTGTCCGTCAGACTGAGCATGGTACGGTGAGGTTCAAATGATATTTGTGCCCATGTCACAGACATCGTGCAATAGTTTAGCAGAAAAATTTCGACCCTGGTCTGTGAGCAGTTTCTCAGGGGGGCCTATGTCCAATCCAATACATACCCGTGGAGAAATATCTCTGATATAGTTGCAGCCGTCCTGCCTGGCAATGGCTATGCAATGGGCCAACAAGTGAAATATTCCGTCCTGACAATCAAATATTTATTTCTCCTAGGCGTTTTTGGGAATGGACCAAGAATGTCTAATGCTACCAGCTCATTCACACTTGATACTACGATCAACTGCAGGAGCGGCTGTACGGGTGAAAGGAGGTTTCCTCTTAGCACAATCCTGACATCGATTTACCCAATTCCGCACATCCTTTGACATCCCCGGCTAATAGTAGCAAGATTGTAGTGTAAGCAGTGTTTCACGGTGGCCCATATGCATAAGTTGTTCAGCGTGCAATTCTAACAGCTACTTCTGTCGCAGGGGGGTGTGTACCACCAAGGAGCGATGCTGCATTCTAGCATCCCACTTTATCATTAGCCCTCGCCATCTTACAAATGGCGCCCCTGCTTTTATAGTTTTTGCTGATTCAGCTGCCTGTGCGGTGAGAGAATCCAGTGAGTCATCTTTTTGTATGCGGACCTATTCGGTCCTTATCAACCCGAGATCATGATCTACGGGTGGACTGATCTTATCATATACTGCCGGATTTATTTATGTCGCTAGTCCCGGCGATTCTGGGAGGGTCGGTTTACATTGAGCCACTCCCATTGTACAAGTACGCAAGTTTTCCACCGTAATCTCAATAGCGTGTCCACATTACAGTGATGAGTACCTTTTCTGTGTGTTATGTTGTAAGAGTATTCCTGCAGTTTTTCAATCCACCTAGCCATCTGTCCCGACGGTTGATCCATGCGCAAAAAAAATTTCAAACCAGCGACTATATAGGTAGGGGCCGAAAACAGTAACAAAGTTAACCACCGCAAGGAGTTCTGAGTAACAAAGTACCATTGCTCTGCGGTGGAAAGCACGTGAATCTCGTACGCAATGACCACTTCTACGTTCCCCTGTATTTGTGGGAACTCAGCCCCAATACCCACATCACCGGAATCCATGTCTAGTACGAACAGTAGTGAAAAATGCAGGTATGCTAGTGGGGGAGCATCAGTCAACCTCAAAGGAAGTGCTTGAAAGGCTGTTTCTTCCTCCTCCCCCCATTGGAATCGGATTCCTTTTGGCATGAGGGCATGCAAAGGTTTCACTACTGTAGTGAATTGCGGTACAAACCCCAGAAATTGCCGCACCTCCTGTACCGAAGTAGGTGTAGGCCAATTTTTCACCGCACAAGTTCTCAGGGTCCTTTGTTACCCCTTTCCCGCTGACCACATGTCCCAAATACATCAGTCCTGTATGAAGTGGCATTTAGATGGCTTCAGTTTCAATTAGCGGCTCACACCTTGAAAAAAAAAACTTGTCATAACCTCAAAAGGTGTTCGTCAAACGATCTACTAAATACAAATAACGTCTAAGTAGATCAGACATACTTCCCACTGTAGGCTCGACAGCACGAGTTCCACGAGGCATTGCAAGGTTGTCAGTACTGTGAGCAATCCCATCGGAAGGTGATTAAATTTAAATAAGCCTTGCTGTGTTTGAAATGCAGTCTTGAGTTTAGATTCGTCATCCAGGGGAAGCTGCCAAAATGCGGATAGCATATCTAACGTAGGGAAAAATGTATCCCGCTAACGCATCTAACGAGTGATCAATACGCAGCAGGGGGTACGCATCTGCTAGTATAACTTTATTTAGGCACAAGAAATCCACACAAAACCTCATGGAGCCATTAGGTTTCTTAACGAGCACCACCAGTGCTACCCAGGGCCTGGTTGGAGAGATTATCTCCGCTCGTAGTATCTCAGTTGTAGCTCGACGAATCTGCTCTTTTTCTGCTGGCCCTACTCGATACTAGTTCTGCCGTACTCCTTGTTTCGATATGGTGCTGCATCAAGTCGATGCACCCTAGATCATATGGGCCTTTACCTGAAAATGTCCTAGCATTCCTGTAGGACACTTTTCAGTTGATCTCAAGGGGACCCTTCCCGATTATTCACTTCTTGTATCCCTGCTACTACTTCATCTTCATGTATTTCTCGTGTGGGGGAGATCTGGGCTATCACTGTCTCTTCTCTTAGTGTAACCGCCTGCTCAGATGTGTTTAGAACCTCTGTGCACAATCTTTCGTTCCGTCTCAAAATGGTGTCCACCGCCACTAATGAAAGCCAACTAATAGCTGGCCCCATTGGTGATACTGTAATCGGTGTGTCTGTGCGTGATGTTATTAGTGGCAAGTGATAGCACAATGGAATCAACATTTGCACCATCGGCAGAGTCACCATTTATTCCTTTACCAGGGCATGTACTCTTGCGGTTTTCCCTGTTTGTGCCTGGCCGCAAAAAAATGCATAAGTCTTCCCGACAGTGTCTCTATATAGCCCTGGTCCATTTGGATGTTCATGGGTAACCGACCTAGATAAATTGGTTCCCAATAAACATGGCACTGCTAGAGACGAAGAAACCAATACCGGGCCTGATATACACATTTCCCGTATGCAGATTTCCGTCTTTACTTTTCCGACAATTCCCAAGCTACCCCC